ATGCCTGGGGCCTCTTGGGGGTCTCGTGGGAGCCTCTCGGAGCCCTCTTGGGGCCTCCTGGGCGCCTCTTGACGCCTCCTGGGCGCCTCTTGGGGCCCTCTTGAAGCGCTCTTGGGTGTCTTGGGAACGTTCTTGGAGCCTTCTTGGGCCATCTCGGAGCCATCTTGAGGTCTCGGATGGCCATCGGTAGCGAAAAGGCGAGAAAGCCAAAAACATTCACTTTCGTGAGGTTTTGGACGGATGTTGGCCTCTTCGGGGCCTCCTGGGGGAATTGTTTGGCCACTTGGAGCCGTCTTGGATCTGTTACGAGGCCTCTTGGAGCATCGTGGGCGCCATCATGAGGCATCTTGGGATATATTGAGCCATCTTGGATGTCATCTTGGGCTCTCCCAGGCGCTCGTGGAGTCATCTGAAGCACTCGCCCCCCCCCTGAAGGCCAACATGTGGCCAAAACTTTATTGCAATCAATGATTTTGGCATTCTCGCCGAGGCCTCTTGGAGCGTCTTGGGTGCATCTGGGGGGCCTCTTGGGGGTCTCTTGGGGGCCTCTTGGGGGCCTCTTGGGGGCATCCTGGGGGCCTCTTGGGGGCCTCTTGGGGCCTCCTGGCCACCTCTTGGGGCTGGGGCACCCTTGGGAGCCTTGGGAGCGCACGTGGGCGATTTCGGAGGAGATCGATCAAAGAAGAGGGGGTCTCAATTAGCGCTGTCCCCCTCAAAAGGCCAAAGCCCAAGTAAAACCAACGATGCTGGCTTCCTCGCCGAGGCCGTTTTGGACGCTCCGACCGCTCACACAAGGCCCCGTCCAGGTCCAGGGGAGGGGGTAGGGGGAGGGGTAAACCCTTGCCCGAAGGGGAAGAAGGGGGGTGGAGCAGGAAACACTGTAAACCACCTACGCCCTAAAGGGCTGGTGGGACTAGTCTGACACAGCCTCACCGTATATGCTTCGTTCGGCTCTGCCATCAAGCTTCCCCCGCATCGAAACACTTTGTACCTGCGCCGCAGGAGGTTGCTGCATGTTGCCAGGGTTGCTCGAATAGACCCCCCCGCACTTCACCCGCCTGAACTGCTCCCTGCATGGTGCTTCGGGTCAAAATCTACCGCGGCCTCTCTGATGCTTCGTCCAACCTTGACATTCAACCTTTTCCGCAGTAGAAATAAGCAGCAGAAGTGTGCGCTGCGAGGTTTTGCAAAACCTAGCGGGACCATGCATAATGCGAGGTTGCAGTTCCCCCAGCACGTTTTGCCAGACCATTATGGCAAACAGGTGTTTTCTGACATGCGATAGTAGCAACACATGGCGCCGTACTCGGCTATAACAGCCAACGTGCGCCCTGTGGGGCAACAGACACAAATATGGGTACCTTGTGGGGCACACTCATATAGGACACCTTGCGGGGCAAATCACAACAGTAAACACATTTCACACCAGCAGCATTTATGAACCAAGCTGACAACAGCCAACGCAAACGCAGCAGGAGTCTTTGGAGCACCAGCACTCTACACCAAACCACCCCAACCCAAGCCGAAGGCCTCAATTCGCCATTCGTTTCCAGGGGGGGGGGGTCAGGGAACATTGAAACAAACACATCTGGAACCCATACCCCCCTCTCCAACCCGAAGTTCGTGTCTTTGGGCTGGGTTCGGGTGGTCTGGTAAGTAGTCAATGGGTACATTGGCATATACATGGATGCGACAAATTCAGTGATGCGCACGTCTAAAGTTGTGTTCCGATGTGTGCCCAAATCGTGAGTTGAATTATGTGTGATGCGTCTCGAACTTGAGGCCAATCCGCCCCCAATCACCTGCAGGGCGCCTTGAACTGTATGGTATGTGTGTTTTTGTTATGGTCGAGTCTACGGTGGACTAGTAAGGCGAAGAGGAGCAGGATAATCGAGAGAGATACAGAGAGGGAGGGAAAGAGAAAAAGAGAGAGAGAGAGAACACACAAAGAACCAGAGAGAGAGAGAGATAAAGAGAGATGAGGGAGAGCGCACGCAAGAGAAAAAGAGAGAGAGAGAGAGAAAGCCATAAATAAAGAGAGAGAGAGAGAGCGAGAGAGAGAGACACACATGGGCAAACCAAGCCAGCTCCAAACAGAAAATAAAGTGGCACCCCACTTGTGGCCTTTTTTGTTGATCGCCTCGCGGGAGAGCGCGTGGCTTTAGCAAACTTCCCATAGGGGGGCACTCGGTTGCCTTAGGCTTCATGGGAGTATGGGGCTCTCTTGGGAGCTTCTTTGCGGCCTCTCGGGGGCCCCCTGGAACGTCTTGGGCACCTCTCGGGGCGTGGTTGGGGGCTGTCTGGGACAAGGCGGGAGTGGTTGCGAAATAGTTTGGAGGGCGTTTTGGAAACCAACATCAAATACTAAACAGAGATCTCGGGCGCCTGGTCGGGATCTGAGGGGGGGAAGGGACAAAACAGGGGGGGACGCGAGCAGGGACGAGGCAGAGTAGGAGAGGAGACTGCGGAGAGCGGGACCCGACAGGCGCGAGCGCGATGACGCTGCAAGGGTGACTGGGCCTTGGCGAAGTTTGTAGCTCGCCTTCTGTCTCACAGAGTGCCGAGCAAATCGTTGCACTATGCACTCCCCATGGATCTGGGCACGGTTCCCCCGTTGGCGCGCCTAGACGTCGCAGGGCAGGGATCCGAGTTTGCGACGGGACGAAATGGCGCCAGTGGATGCATGTGCAATTTTGCTCCTCGTTCATTCTCCCCCTTTAGGGGCAATGTTAGGCTCAGCGGGGAATAGCTTGAGGTTCGCTAGGCTCGAGGCTTGTTGTTTTCTGACGACTTCATCGATGTTTGGCGGCTTCCGAGCATCAGGGCACCTTCCAGCGATTGCGCCTCGCCGGGATCGTTCCAGGGGTGCCCGGATCGTCCCGAACGGCCGCTGGAGAGTCTAGTCTTTGAACCGAAAGTCAGGGGGCAATTCTGAGGGGGGATAGGCTCAGGGGGGGATGCACTGACCACCCCCAATCGCCGATTGATCGCCGACAGCAGCCTGATAGCCCAGCCCGCCCAGGAGTGTGCGGTTTCGCTATCAGGGCCGATCTATCAGCGATATCTCCCCGTCTTCAGCTCGGAGTTCCCCACCCTGAGCTGGCCCCCCCAATCACATTCGTCCTCACTCCTGCCACCCCCCTCCACCTGTACGTGCGGAATGGTATGTGCATTGCGCGTGCGAGCAACATCGGCAGTGTGTCGCGGTGCCTTTTGGCTCGTTTGGCAGCCCGATCGGATCTCGTCGTCGTCTTTTTTCCCCTCTTCCTGCCTCGTGTGCTCGTGTGCTGGCGCTGGCAAAGCCCATACATCACGAAAGGTCAGGTCGAGAGGATGTTTGGGAATTCCACGACATCGGTGCCCGTTCTCAATTGGGCGGCTCACGCGGTGCCAAGGATCATTACCCACGTACAGCATACAAGAGCATCCGCCCCCAATGACTGCGATTTTTCAAACCAGGTAACAATTCAGCCTATCACCGCGCATCCCCAGGCCGAATACTGAAAATGTGGCTCTGATGTGTCTTCTACGTACGTGTGTGTGTGTGTGTGTGCCATCTTCGGCTTGGCACGTCATGGAGGCGGCTCCCAAGGAACCAGGGATGGTTTTGCACTTCTGCAGCTGCGAGTAACGTTTCGCTGCCACCCATATATTCCCAACTCCGGCGTCCTAGCGCAGAAACCATTTGTGGCGAGAGGAGGAAGAGGAGGAGAGGAGGAGGAGGAGGAGGAGGAGGAGGAGGAGGAGGAGGGGGACGAAGAGGGGGAGAAAGACGAGGAGGAGGAGGAGGAGGAGGAGGGGGAGGAGGATGGGAGAAAGACGAGGAGGAGGAAAGAGGAGGAGAAGGAGGAGGAGGGTCGACGAAGCGCCAGATGAATCTGGAGGTCCAGCCCCCGTGCTGGCGGCGCCCCGATCGTATGACACCCCAGACGTCCCAACCACAAGGCATTCATCTCCAGCTGCGCACATCAAGCTTAATGGGAGGTCACCTCCTCCCTCCTCCTCCCTCCTCCTCCTCCTCCCTCCTCCTCCTCCTCCTCCTCCTCCTCCTCCTCCTCCTCCTCCTCCTCCTCCTCCTCCTCCCCCTCCTTCCCCTCCCCCTCCTCCTCCTCCTCCCCCTCCTCCTCCTCCTCCCCCTCTCAAGCACAGCTGGGCGGAGCGCGTGGTACCATCTTTTGGTTCCTACTCGCTCGCGCTAGCCCAGCTTCCCGCCTCCGCGTCGGCGATGGGGGGACACCAGGGCGTCTGGACCGCTTTGTGAGTGGTTTCTCACAATGGCATCGTTCAGCCTCTCCTGGTGACGAAGGGGAGCGAATTCACGATTTCAAGTATTCCGGGGCCTCGGACAGAGGCAAAACAAGTTGGTGGGTATCACTACGGTGTTTCGCGTAGTGCCGCTTCTCCAGATTGGGCTGCAGGTGGTGTGGCTTTGGAATATTTCAGCAAGGGCTTACCTCATCAGCTATCGTTTGGGCATCTCCCAGCTCCGCCAGGGGAGGGTCTGTTTTTCGGTTTCTGGTGCTGGGGTCTCAATTTTTTCGCACGTCCAGCTGGAGCCAGGCATCATCAGCTATAGTGATGGGGTCTCCCATCTCCGCCAAGGGAGGGTATTTCAGTGGCTTTTGGTGGCGGCCTTGGCGGCGGCAGCGCATTCGAATTCAGCTTGATAGGTGAATTCCCATATTTGTACTTCAGGCGGCTCTTTTGCTCTCTCATTGGGTGGCCATCACGGAGGCGTACCACTCATACTGGTTGTGCTGGCGGTGGATTCCATTCGATGTACGTGGCCTGGCGTGGGAGGCTGCGCAGAAGCTGATTAACGCCTCATGTGGGTGGATAGTGGATTCGGCAGTTATCCAATTGTGGCGCGTTCCCAGCCGCTCTTTGCAACGGCGCCAGGAGATTTTACTCGTACATACTAGGGTTGGTCAGCGCCCTCTGCGACAAAGCTCCGTGTGAGGCAATTGCGGCTTCTTCAAGGCAAGTTGCGTTTTCCCTTTCAGGTTTGCAGAGTGGGTAATGGTTTTCCCTAACAAGAGGTACTATGTCTGGCGGTGCCAGTTGGAATTATGGAATTGTGTATAGGCGTCTTCTCTGGTGGTGCCGTGGAGGAGTGAACACATGTGGTGTTGCCGATGCGACGTGCATTAATTTTCCGCGCGGGTGTCTACTACATGGGGAGGGACTCGTTCGAGGCATCAGCTTCGTTCCTCGGTCTTCATCGCAGTGCCAGGAGGGTGTCAGTGTTCATGTTCTTCAATTTCGCCGCGTTCTTCTTCGCCTGAGCCGGCAAGGGAACGGGCGCATCAGCATAACTCGCTTCGCGAGAGGTCTGAATCTCTGAACCTCCTCCTCGCCCTCCTCCTCACCCTCCTCCCCCTCCCCCTCCCCCTCCTCCTCCTCCTCCTCCTCCTCCCTCGATAGCGCCACGCACGAATCCGACGAGCATTCCGACTCACATTTCCTATTCCAACACGTCCGACCGCTATGTGTTTGTATTTTTTCTCTGTTCGCGGTATATTGAGTTTGCTGCATGTGTTCCGAATCTACGTTCAACCATGCGTTGCATCAGGGAGCCGTTCGTACGCATCTGAATGCAAGCTTTGATGGGTTGTGACTCGTCGTTCCGTTGCGCCTGGGTGCCGGATCCCGACGCAGATGCTCGTCATATTCAAATGTGGAGTAAGATCATATTGTTCCCGCGAATGTTTTTGAATCCCCAACCATTCATGGAAGAGCTGCGGGAAAACGCGCCTGTGCCGTCCCAGTGTTTTTTTCCACCCCAGGAATGAAACAAATTGGTCGAAGGTACGTAGTCAGCCGTTCGACGCCGACGGCAATTATTCAACCAGTTGATTCGATTTTGACAGAAACACATTGGAATTGACAGGAATAGGAGAATTCAGTCACGCAGTCAATAGGAAATACTACTGAACCCAATTGAATTGTTGACGTTTCGCGTATCCCCACCAACCCGTCCAGAAACGATGCCCAGGAGGGTTGACGGGAGAAAGGAGGAAGAGACGCACATAGTGAAACACCTTGGGTAATAGCGGTAAAACGGGCTGATGCTGCTGGTGGTGTCTCTTGACAGGTTTTCGGGCGCCTCTTGGAGCCGTTTGGGCGCTTCGTGGGGGAACCGTTTTGGATGTTGAAGGGCGTTTTGTAGCCATATTGGAGGATACGTATACGTACCAACGATTTTTTTTTGTAAAAAAAAAATGAGGTTTCTTCGGCAACATAGAATTCTGTGCTTCGAAGGCCAGAATTTTATTTCGGAACTTCCCAGCTTGAGTTATCCTTTCTCTTGCTCTTCGCCACCACGTCAATCCATCCGTACGTGCCGACTCGCATGTGCATCGCAGTGTGTCAAAGATTGCTGGGTTTGTTTAGTAACCCGATCCGGTATCGTTTTTTTTGTTTTGCTTATTTTGTTTTAAATAACGCTTCTGCGCAGAAGGTCGTGTACATAGACTTTGGCGGCAAAACCGTTATTTTTTGGGCCGTTTACTGACTGTCACCAATCATTTCCCTTGTGCAGCAGACAATCGCAACCACCTATGGTGATTGAGATTTGTATTTCAAATGCTGTTTTATGTTTCAAATCAACCGCGAATTAAAATTGCGACCGTGAATCTCCAAGAGGAGTTCTAAACATGTTATATGTACACGCGTTATATAGATGGCTCACGGACTCACGGAACCGACCTACCCGGAGAGAGTTGCTTGATCCCTATATTGACGTAGTACCGGGCAAAGTAACCATTAATACTACATACCAGTACGGTTTCCATTATATTGATAATATGCGGAACAGATCGAAACTCCAATGCCACCCGTTGTGAGATGCATGTTTCGCAAATTGAAACGTAAGTTTGCATTCAGGAAACGGGGGCCGCTGTTTCACACACGTTTGGGGAGGAAGGGTACCGCATCATCATATCTGGTACGAACAGGAAAATGTCTGGGAGATTATATTCAGGAGTGGGGTTTATCATCGCCCTGCGGACCAAACAAAACAATGATACATTTTAAATTCATATCGGGCGAGATAATTTTATTACGCTTTCGTGTCCCTGGCGGTATTTTTCTTTTCTATCTATAAACAATGCTGACATGACCCAATTTGCTCCACAATTTGGACACGACGGAAACAATAAGCGCACTTATTTTGATGAGATGATGGACGCATGGTCAAAACGAAACAATCATGCATGCACCATGGCACTCGGAGAAGACGACACTATGGGGCGATATGCGTTCGAAAACAAATGGCCGCAACGCAGCGACAATTTGAACACAGATTTTTTGGTAAGAGGCGTATCCAGCCACAAACCGATCAGTTATTACGAATATTTTTTTTCTAACCTGGAGCGAACCAATTGGTCACAATTGGATCACACATGGGAGAAACAATCCAAATCTACACGGACGTTTTGACGCTCCTATTTTGGAAGAGCTGACCCACATGCTCTAAAAATTTGTTGGTTAGGAAGCCTG